TTTTTTTTTTTTTTTCTTACTCTTTAGTTATTCCGGGATTCCCTCCCTTTTTGGTTAAGGACCTTAGTTTGCACATGACTCACTCTCCATCAGTTTTTAAGCAACAGCTTATTTTTTTTGTCAAGGGTTTGGAGGGGAGCGGTTGGCTCCCTGAGTGTGGGGTATGCTGGAGGGCATGGTGGGAGTGTTAGCTTCCCGAGGGCCCCCCCCCCCACTGTTCCCCTTTCTCTTTAGCTGCCTTTCCCTTTCTCCTCTGCAGTGAGATGCTATTTCCACGGCCGGTGGTACGCGGACGGGGCTGTGTTCAGTGTGGGAGGTGATGAGTGTACCACCTGTGTCTGCCAGGTAGGTGGGTGTGGGGGAGGGGAGCAGGGCGCAGGACTTTCCCAGCATGCCTCGACCAGGAGACTAGGAGCTGCCACACGGCAGAAGGGAAACTGAGGCAGCAGGGGCATTAAGAGGACCCGCGTTCACCAAGGCCTGCCCATAGTCTCCTTGGAGTTCACCCTTCAGCAGAGCTATTTATAGAGCACCTACTGTGTACCCAGAGCAATGCCAAATGCTGGGGACACAGCTAAGCACGAGACAGCCCCAGTCCCCTCTTTCAGGGATCCCACAGCCTAGGTGGGCTGTGGGCTGGTGACCGGGGCTCCTCACCGGAAGGGAAGGCTTCTTGGAGGAGGGATGTTAAGTTGACACCTGAGGGGTGAGGGAGAGGAGCCTGAGGCAGGTGTGCCCGGCAGAAGCGAGAACGCACAGCCCGTTCTAAGGCCTGAACGTGTCCCTGCTGCCTGGGGCACAGAGTGCAAGAGACTAGGCCAGAGAGGAAGCTGTGCGTAGGGAGGGTCCTTGAGCTGGGGTCTGAGAAGCAGGGCCTGGGGCAGGATTCTCGTGTAAGTCATCTTCGGAATGGCAGCCAAGGGCAGAGGAAGGAGCCAGGTGAAGACGGGGTCTCAGGCTGACTCCACAGGGAGCTCTGGAGGGAGTTGCACGGCAGAGACGGGTGTGCGCAGAGATCAGGGAGCTCGCATCAGTTAGTTGTATGCACTCCCTCTGCTCTCCGGGAAGTGGGGGTGAAAGAACCATCCAGGCACCTGAAGGACTCAGCGGCTGTCAACCAAAGGCAGTCCTTAGAGGAAGGGGTCACGGGGAGGAGGGGGCCTCACAGCCTCTCCCACAGACTCAGGAAGGGCTTTTCTGGCCAGGCTGAGGGCTCTGGACTTGGCAGAGCTGATGACCGGTTTTAATTGGTGGAGCCGTGCGATCATATTGGTGCACGAGAACGTTCTGTGGCTGCAGAGTGAGGGTGCACTGGGGTGAGAGCAGAAGGCTGTTGCACAAGTGAAGGGAAGGGGTGCTGGGGCTATGGCCCGGGCAGGCGGAGACCCCCAGCCCAATAGCTGGGACGTCCCAGAACGTGCTCCTGGCCTCCCCCCAGCCACCTCCACCCCCATCCCTGGAGATTCTTTGTCACTTTTAGGAGAATGACAGCAGCAGCCTGGCAGCCTCCTCTTCAGCTTTCAGATGGCCCAGGGCCAGGGAGCTGCCCTCACTGGCCCGTGTGCCTGGTTCTCTTCCAGAATGGGGAGGTGGAATGTTCCTTCACACCATGTCCGGAACTGGATTGTCCCCGAGAGGAGTGGTGGCTGGGCCCTGGACAGTGCTGCTTCACCTGCCGGGAGCCCACACCCATGACAGGTGAGGGCCCCCAGCCCTGCACCCCAGGGCGATGCCCTCCAGCCCAGGGCGATGCCCTCCAGGAGGGAGGCTGAGCTTTGCGTGCAAAGACTTAGGGTGTGTGTTTCTGTAAGCGTGTATGTCTCTATGAGTGTGTGTGTGTGTGTGTGTATGTGTTTGCAATATTTGTGCGAGTGTGCCCGTGTGTGTGTGAATGTGTGTGCTTATGGGTTTGCAGGTTAACTGTATGTCTGTGCGAGGTGCCTGTGTGAACCGGGCACACGTTTGGAGGGAAGAGTCACTAACTGAGGGAGCCCACAGACAGCTGCGGGCAGCCCCTGGGTCCAGCAGGTGGCGGGACAGACACCCGGGGAGCTGCCTGGGCAGTGTGAGCGAGCAGAGGCGGCTGTCCTTGGTGGGGTGTTGCTGTAGGTCCGGCGGGCGCTCAGCACCTCCTCGGCGCTCGCGCCCACCCGAGCTTTCTCCCTCACTGTCCCCCGGCCAGGCTGCTCTCTCGACGACAACGGGGTTGAGTTTCCTATTGGACAGATCTGGTCTCCTGGTGACCCCTGTGAGTTATGCATCTGCCAGGTGAATGACAGCGTGCACGCCTTCAGCTGCTTCCCCCGGCGGTCCTTGCCTCACCCCGAGCAAGCCCTTCTGCCCTGCGTGGGCCCTCCGGGCCGGGCACCCCCGGTCCAGAAGCCAGGCCGCCTCAGCCCGCCCCTCGTCTCCCTCCCATGCTGGCAGGTTCCATGTTTATAGGAGGGGCTGGGACCCAGTTTCTTCTGTCCTTGGTAGCTCTTTTGGAACAGCGGAGCTTGGCAGCCTGCCTAAATGGGGTGCCACACGCTGCTTGCGAGGACTCGGGTCCCAAGCGCAGGTTTCCCCGGGCACAGGTAACTGAAGGGGCGTAACAGCCCGCGGCTCAGTAGTGCAGTCCTTTCCTGCGAAGCTGCAGTGTTTCCTTCGGGAACGTGAATCTGTGACCTCAGTTCATCAGAAATGGATAAGGAGGGGGTGCTTGAGCTTTAGAGTCCGGTTGACCCCGATATGCCAACATAGCCACTTACCAAGAAACACTATTGTTTCGGCTCATTGAGTACGCACGTCGGCTTTTGTTTCGAGTTCTTGATTCATGCCTCGGAGCTTAGAGCATTATTTCTCAAAATGAGGTCCCTGCACCAGCGGTGTCCTCGGCATCACCTGGAGCCTGTTGGACACGCACAATCTCCAGGCTGCTCAGACCTCCGGGCTCAGAATCTGCATTTTAGTCCCCGGTGACCCATGTGCACACTGGCGTGCGAGAGGCACAGCCCCCAAGTACCTTGGATGCGCCATTTGTTAAAAAGCCTTAGACCCTTGCAGAACTTGGGAATGTTTCCTTGGGATTACAGTCGGGAGGAGGGTACCTCCGCTGCCTTTCCCCTTTGTGACTGACCCAGGGCACTCATAGTCTAAGAAAGCTTTGTCAACGTTCAGATTCTCGGAGGGAAGAAAAGAAACCATATGTGGTGCTTTTGTCTTCTGAAATAGACATTTCCGGTGGAATAGTTTTCTATAAAAATAGGATTTTATTGTACTCTATAGGTTTGGGGTGAGCCAGGGTTCCAGGGAAAAGCTGAGAGAATTTGGATGGGGTGGTGGTGAGCTTTGGCTGTTGCCAGAGAAGGACAGGAAGCCGAGGAGACCAAAACCCCGCTCTGACCTTCCTTCTCCTTAGATAGGGAAGCCTTCCCGGAAGGCTCACACCCCCTTTCCCAAGGAGCCGGTCCTCTGTGTGGGGGTACCTGCCACGTCCTAGCTGCATCATGGCGCCCTCCAGGCAAGCCTTGGCCAGTCTGAGGCATTGCCCTCTCTGGTGGGAGGGAGGGTGGGGTCGGGCAAGGAGGCCGGGCCCGGTTGTGTCAGGTGGGGTCTGGGTGAAGTTCTTCCTTCCTTCAGGCAGATGGCTCAGTGAGCTGCAAGAGGACAGACTGCGTGGACTCCTGCCCTCACCCAATTCGGATCCCTGGACAGTGCTGTCCGGACTGTTCAGCAGGTAATTTCCTGCTTGTGGGGCTACACAGCGCCCCTTCCCCCCCACATCTGGGCTCACCCTGCCCCAGGTTCCTCCAGACAGGACCACACAGGCTTTATCTCCGGTCATCCTCACAACAGCCCCATGGGAGAAACCCATTTTACAGATGAGGAAAGTGAGGGGGGTGGTTCGTAAAGCAGTTTGCCCAAGGCAGGCCCAGTCTGGGTCTAGAAGCAGAGAGAAAGATATGCTGAGTTTGTAGCCTAGGTGGGGTGACAAAGGTTCACACCTGTGAAACAGGGAACAGTGAGAGAATATAAAAATGATACTTTTTGGGGGTGCCTGGGTGGCTCAGTCACTTGAGTGTCCGACTCTTGATTTCAAGTCATGATCTCACAGTTTGTGGGATTGAGCCCCTCATCAGGCTCACTTTTGCATTTGACAATTAGGAGCCTTGGATTCTCTGTCTCTCTCTACCTGTTTGCATGAGTGGTCTCTCTCTCTCTCTCAAAATAAGTAAACTTAAAAAAATGATACTTTTTTCCATTTTTTAAAATTTTATTTAAAAAAAAAAATTTATTTTTACATAATGTCTACATCCAACGTGGGACATGAACTTATAACCCCAAGTTCAACAGTCACACGCTCTTGCAACTGAGCCAGCCAGGCTCCCAGATACTTATTTTTTTTTATATTAATTTTCACCTGTTCTATTATTTCAAAAGTATTGAAGAACATACAGAGAGCAAAAATAAAAACAATTTAAAAGGCCCCTTATCACTTTTAGCCTCATGGTTTTGTTTTTTTCATCTCTTTTCAAGACATAAGTATCTTTATCTGTATATAACGTATCTATAACATGTATCTATAAGTAACAAATAATATATCTAACATATATACATGATAAAAGAGTTTCCTGTTGTCCTGTCACCTCCTTTTATACTTACTAGAATGTGATAAATGGCATCGAGGTGGCAGCCCTCAGATCTGGCCTCTGCGGGCTTGGGGAAGTGGAGGGAGGCGGTGTGGGGGAATGTTCTGGAAGGTGGGGGGTCGACAGGGGAGCAGAGAGGATGGCTGTGGTGCCGGGCTCTCAGGTTGTGTCTCCCAGTCCCCCTGGCTTGATCTTGCCCGGTGAGGGCAGGAGGAAACATGGAAGAAAACCCCTGCTAAATCCAGTAAAAAAAAAAAAGTCCGCACCCAGTCCAGACCTGTGTTTTGTCTCTTCTCCAAACCCCGCGCTGACTGCCTGGGGCTGGCCTGACCTTTGCTCCCCAGAAAACTCTTGGACCTTCATCCTTGGCAGGCACCTGGTCACCAGCCACCTTCCTGGCTGGCGCTCACCCCCTGCTTTCTCTGGCAGGCTGCACCTACACAGGCAGAATCTTCTACAACAACCAGACCTTCCCATCCGTGCTGGACCCGTGTCTGAGCTGCATCTGCCTGGTAAGGACCACCCAGACCTGACCCCCGTCTGTGGAAACTCCACAGACACTGACCCCTGCTCATGAACCTTGGAGGCACAATCCAGAACCTTCCAAGAGAAAAGTCATCCTGGGTCACGGTGAAAGTTGGCTCCCTCCAGCCCTACCGAGGGTGAATCTTTACTCGGGGCCAGAGAAATATTTTTTAAGTCTGCCCAGCAAAAGCCCTCCGCTTCTGGGTGATCAGGGGGAGTCTTGGGGGCTCCCAGTAGTAAACACGTGCATGCTCGCTGAGGGTGCAAGGTGAAGGCCTCAAGCCCAGGACTCTGAGCTGGAATCTGTGATATACTCCCATCATCGACTTCTTGCTGTGTGCCGATCCAGCTCTCGGCCCTCTCTCTGCATGAGCTCAGTTAATCTTCGGGGGAATCCTCTGAGGTAGGTGCCAGGGTCATGTCCATCTGCTAGGTGAGGAAAGTGAGGCACGGAGAGACGAAGTCCTTCCCTCAAGATTCTCACGCTGGTCCACTCAAGTGCCAAGAATCGAATCCTAGTGTTCTGAGTCTGCGCTCCAGGAGGTGAACCTTTGCCCCTAAGCCAGGCTGCCTCTCGGTCTGAAAAAGCATGCGAGATAGTTAACATCATTTAGTGTTTGGAAAATGGGGGAAAAAGTCCTATTCCTTGTCACGCTGGAAACGTCCGAGGCCAGTCGAGTGAGCACACCGAGTGGAAAGGGACAAGGTCTACAGAAACAGAGAAACTCAGGGTGAACGTCTCGGGCCTCTGAGTGGCCCTGTTTGTTCACGTGCTTCCGGGAGCTTCAGGCTTCTGGGTCCTTCTGTCTCCTCGGTTTCTGGTGCTCACCTTTCCTGGGTGTTTTGTGGATTTGATCGGCAGGGACCTGTTGAAAGATGAGCGGCACGGTCAAGGCCAGGCCCTTGGCTCTGTGGGGCTTGCGTTCTGTCGAGAAGACAGACTGAGTGAATGAACCTGTCCCCCAACTGTGGTGGCTCCGATGATCGCTCCGTGGTTATGTGGCTGTCCTTCCCGAGTGTCCCATCAGCTGCTCGGAGGAAAAGGCCTTGTGTGTTTTTTGTGTCCCGCAGCTGGGCTCGGTGGCCTGCTCCCCGGTGGACTGCCCCATCACCTGCACCTACCCTTTCCACCCCGACGGGGAATGCTGCCCGGTCTGCAGAGGTGAGTGGGACCAGCACCCCTATGTCCGAGGCTCTCAGCTGGGCCTTGGCCCTCATGGGCCTGTCCCCTCTGCCCCCACAGATTGCAACTATGAGGGAAGGAAGGTGGTGAATGGCCAGGTGTTCACCTTGGACGATGAGCCTTGTACCCAGTGCACGTGCCAGGTAAGCTGGGCCTGGGGACGCAGGGGCTGCCCGGCCAGGGACTGCGTCTGGCCTGTTGTCCCTTTGCAAAACTGTAAGTCCCCTCAGCCAACATAAGCCCACCTTCCTCCTGCCTTCCCAGCTTTAATTGCCGGCCAGCATTCCTCCAGATTTGATGGTATCCTCCCTCTTTGTGGTCTCCTTAAAGCGGCCCTGCTGTTCAGCCTCTGTCCCAGGAGCTTTCTGTCGGTGTAAGAGGCGCGTGGGGTGCTGTCCTGGGACGGGATGGGGCTTCCTTACGTGTGTCCCTGTGCTTCCCCAGCTGGGAGAGGTGAGCTGTGAGAAGGTGCCCTGCCAGCCGGCCTGCTCGGACCCCTCCGCACCCCCTGGGGACTGCTGTCCCTCCTGTCCAGGTGAGCGGGCCTCTGGGCCCTGGGGCTTCTCCACTGTCTTCCTGCACTTTGCTCTTGCCAGAAACGGAGAACTTGTAAAGGGCTGGGTGTGAGACACCCAGGCTCAGCGAGGGAACGCGTCTGGCTCGAGGCCACACCGCCAGCACACGGCGAGGACAAGCCTGGCTCGCTCATCCTCATCCAGTGTCCCTTGTGCCACATCTGTGACACCTGTGTCTCTTTTCCTTCATTACCTCCTCCCTTAATCTCCTTTTCTCCTCTTTCTCCCTTTTCCAACAACAACAACAACAAAACACCCCACAATTTAGGAACTGAATCAACTTGGCAGGAGAGTAACCACAGTATGTCCTGAATACTAGGCGTTACCATCTCCAGTTTCCTGGTGAGGAAACAGAGGCGCAGAAGGGTGGAGGGGCACGCTCAAGGTCATGTAACTGACAGGCAGGAGAGCCGGGATTTGAGCCCAGAGTTGATGCTTTTTAGCTCCTGCGTTGTCCTGACTGCTGAACACGATTTTCATTTTTTTGTCCACTCCATCATGAGTGTCCACCCGTGTGGCTCTTTCTGCAGAGGTACAGATAGGACCCAGACAAAGTGCTGTAACACATGGCTTTAAAGTACCGACGTGGCCCAGAGCTGGCCGTTGCAAAAAGCCCCCAGATACTCCGGTTTGCTCACCCTCTGACTTTTAAGCTGACGTTTGGACAGTTTCTTGCTGCTTCTTTTTCTGTCTATTCATAATGGACCTGCTGTGAAAAATCTCGGGTCCGACAACTCTGTTCTTTTCACACTTTGTGAGTTGTGTCGGGGCCCTGTGGTTAGCAGGTGGAATCCTGGGCCATGGGGCACTGGCGGGGGGGGGGGGGCGGGTGTGGCGCAGGGACCCCAGCAGCATGACAGCGCGTAACCAGACGGGGCCCCTCGACCAAGCGGCAACTTGCCGTGGGGTAGCCGGCTCCCCACACGTCCTCCAGCTCTACACCATGTGCCTTGAATTTAATTTTTCCAATTTAACACGCCCGTAAAGTACCTTACGTGTGGCTATTGTATGTTTTTTTTTTAATGTTTATTTATTTTGAGAGAGAGAGAGAGCGCGCACGCTACTGAGGGAGGGGCAGAGAGAGGGAGAGAATCTCAAGCAGGCTCTGCGCTTGGGTCGCACGGGGCTCGAACCCACAAACCTCAAGATCACCACTCAAGCTCTAGCTGCTGGTGTTGGGCTCAAGCCGGGGTCTCTCCGATTCCTTGCCCCGTGCTGTCTTGCCTTCACAAGGGGAAACAGAGGCCCAAGGAGGTAAGGTGCAGAGCCTGGTCGCTTCTCCCAGGAACACTCCACCTTTGGCTCCATTCGCCATGCGCCTCTTCCTAACAATAGCTCCTTTTAGGGAGAAGCCACTTTTTTGTTGAAATAGAATATGAATTGTTTCCTTTTGCTACTTAATAAACATAACAGTTTTCTTGAGATGTAATTCATGCGCCACTTAATTCGCACACTCAAAGCATATAGTTCCGTGCCTTCGGGTATATTCAGAGTTGTGTGTCCGTCTTTCAGATGATTTTTAAAATCATTCCAGGGGCACCTGGAATGAAGTCGGTTAAATGTCCGACTTTCGCTCAGGTCACGATCTCACGGCTCGTGAGTTCGAGCCCAGCGTGGGGCTCTGTGCTGACAGATCGGAGCCTGGAGCCTGCTTCGGATTCTGCGTCTCCCTCTCTCTCTGTCCTTCCCCTGCTTGCATTCTGCCCCCCGCCTCAAAAATAAATAAAAAACATTACAAAAATTCTGAAAAGTAAAATGTAATCATTCCAGGTTTTATGGATTTGACAGCATCTGTCTCCTTCTCATCATACCTTTCTCCAATACTCTCCCTTCTTATGCGTCTTCACTCCTCGCTCTCTCGGCCTAAGCCTCTTCCTTTGCTTGTTCTCTGCCCGTGAGTCAAGCCCTTATGACGTGCCGGGCTCCAGGCTGAGACTCCAAAAAGTTTTTTTTTTTTTTTTCAATAGACTTTTTTTTAGAGCAGTTTTAGGTTCACGGAAAAATGAGCAGACGGTACAGCCTCCCCTGTCACGAACATCCTGTACCAGATGGTCCGTTTGCCACAATCCACGAACCTCCACGGACACATGGTTATCACCCAACGTCCGTCCGTCCTTAACATCCGGGTTTAGGCTGAGATTTCCCATGCACCGTTCATTCAGTCCTCAGAGTGACTCTGTACGTCGTGATGATGCCCATTTTACAGATGAGGACACCGAGGCCCAAGGGAGTTATGTGCCTTATACAACGTCACAGAGCCAATGCCTGGCAGAGTGACTTTGGGGGATTGCCCCCCTCTATTCAAGGTTCCCTTTTGGTCTCTCCCTGGAGGCAGGGGCCAGCTGGTCCTTACCAGGTGTGAGCGGCCTCCGTCCCCAGGGCAACTCATCCCAGAGCCGCCTCGGCCGTCCGGAGAACCAATATGCATCTTGATTCCTCCTCTTCTCTCTAGATTCCCTGGAAAGAAGAGCCGTGGAGTCTGGCAAGGCAGCTCGGAGCCCCCGTGGGGACACTGAGGCCCCGGTGAACTGTAGCTCGTGCCCGGGCCCCCCAGCAGCGTTGTCTGAGAGGCCAGTGCCCCATGTTCTCCAGCTCCTCTTCAGAACGAACGTGACCACCACGCAGACTCTACCCACGAGCCCCTCAGGAGACCAGGCCTCACCCTCACCCCATCCGGGGTCCGGGGGCACATTCCCAGGGGAGCCGGGGGCCTCCCAGCCCTCCCCGGGGCCTTTGATCCTTCCAAGAGCCTCCACTCTACCTCTAGCTGCTCCCGGGGCTCCTGGGCCTCCTCCTGTAACCCCAGAGCCTGAATCCTCATCTGGAGCCCAGACAGCAACCAGACAGCCCTCTCCGCCTGCCATCGTCCTGACTGAACCGTCAGCCCGTTCCGCGACGGCCCCCAGCCCCTCAGAGACCCCCGCCACCCTCCTCCGGCCTCGCAGACTCTCTCCCGCCGCCTCCAGACTGTCTGAGGCCCTGGCAGTCGTGGCCAGCCCCAGCCCCCGGCGCACGGGGACCTCAGAGGGGGAGGAATCCACCGGGTAAGCCGGCCTCGGCTTTCAGGGCCCTGCCTGGGAGACTTCGGACACAGAAAACTGCCAGGGGCCCTGGGCACTGGCAGGGAGGCTCTGGGGCAACCGAGGCTGGTGACGCCAGAGGCTCACTGCTGCAGGGCTCCTGGGGGGGATGGAACGTCCCCGGGGTCCAATGCAGCCTTGTCCCCAAGAAGCATTTGGAATGTGCCGTGAGAGGAGGCAAACGGCATTCTCCACGGTCACATCCTCCTCGGACACCACGGCGGCCTGTCTTGGAAGGAAGGCTGGGGCTGCTGAGCTCCCTGCTCTGGAGAAGAGTCAGAGGGCCTGCGAGTCCCCTGGGATTGTGCCTCCAGCCGTCCCTCGTCCCTCCCCGAGATTTCCCGATTAAAGGCTGTCTCCGTCTTCCCCCCTCCGCCGCCGGCTGCCCTGCTCCTTCACTTCTCGCCTTTGGAAAGGTGGGGAAATGTCACTCCGAGCCCACCGGTGGGAAAGTAACACCCCACCTCCACCCCACCCCACACCCCGGCTGGGGAAAAAAAAAAACACCTGAGCTGAACCGGGGCAGGGGGGGTCTCGTGTAAGCACCTGCTGACTTCGATGCTGGGAGGGCTCCTATACTGGAAAGGGAAAAGACGGACGGAGGAGGAGCCTTCGTAGGTTGGTTTCCCTGGGTGGGAGCCTCTGGAATTAAACAGGAGCAGGGTTGGTTTCCCTAGGGCACCCTCTCAGCAATGGCACCTGAGGGGTGGGAGGCAGGGAGGGCAGCCAGGAGGGGGAAGCCCCGAGGCCTCAGCCAACCCCCTCTGAGGCTAGGATGGCCCTTCAGAGTTGTCCTGAATTGGGGCCCAGGGCCAGGGCTTTGTGACCCCCGTGTTGACCCAGGAAAGGGGCGCGACCTTGGCCAGGCAGCTCCCTTCAGCCCGGGGAGGGCTGATGGCCGAGAGCTATTAGCCAACAACCTTCCCGGCAGCCCGCAGCTGGGAGAATAAATCTTCAGTCCCGAAGGGGAGGATTTGGGCGGGTGCAGCCCAGTGTGTGCGACAGATGGAGAGGACCCAGTCAGCAGCTTGCCACCACTGAAACCTGTTTATTCTGCAGCCCCCATCACATTTGCCCAGCCCTCACCCCCACCCCCAGCTGCCCTCTGACCTGCTGCCCAGCACACTTCCTGGGGCGGGGCGGGGGGGAGCGTCCGTCTGGGGTACCCACCTAGACATGAGTGTATCAGTGAGGTCCTAATCCCAGTGTGGTGGCAGGAATCGCGAATTTCTAGCTGGGAGCGTGGAAACCTGAGACTCAGAGATGCAAAGGATTTAGAGACCGTTTTATCCAGTAAGACATAGGCGTGTGGTGAGGAGTGAGGTCTGGGATGCCCTGCTCGGCTGTGACTAGCCCAGGGACCTTAGGTCCGGCTCCTGGGTCTGTCTAATGGGGAATCGTAACACTCCCGCAGCTCGGAGCTGTGACAATGGCAGGCTCAGGCCTCTGTGGTTTGCACTTGTGACTTGGTGCGGCCCACCCACTTTACGAAGCACCCCCGCCCCCCATGATCTAATTTCAGGATGAAAGTGTTTAAGGCTGGCTGCCTCCACACTGCCCCTTCTCGAACAACCCGGCTATCGGTAATGGCTAGAAGTCAGTGCCAAGTTTCTCATGGCTATTCAATAAAGTATGCAACTTGAGTGTTAATCCCAGTTTCCCCCTCCACAGAGCTCAAGTAAATTGTATTTATTTTGAATGTTTAAAAAAAAAGCAAAGCGGGGCGCCTGGGTGGCGCAGTCGGTTAAGCGTCCGACTTCAGCCAGGTCACGATCTTGCGGTCCGTGAGTTCGAGCCCCGCGTCAGGCTCTGGGCTGATGGCTCGGAGCCTGGAGCCTGTTTCCGATTCTGTGTCTCCCTCTCTCTCTGCCCCTCCCCCGTTCATGCTCTGTCTCTCTCTGTCCCAAAAATAAATAAACGTTGAAAAAAAAAAATTTTTAAAAAAAGCAAAGGGCAGGAGGATAGCTGTAAACGTCCTCCCCGAGGTGGTCCAAGTATAAATAATGCTTATCTGGACCCCTGCTCCCTATTCACAGCTGGGACCACAGAGGCCCGGAGAAGTGTGCTAAGGTTGTGCAAGAGTATGAGGTCTGAGCTGGGAGGAGAGCCCCGTTTCTCTGACTCCCAGTCTGGGTTTTGTCCCTTCACATCACACTTGGTTGGATTCTTCCATTGTAGTTTTAGAGACAGTATATGGTAGGGCGCTGTGATTACCCTGTTTTGGTTTGGGTTCCCCCAAGAGCAGACTTAGAGATAAATATCTGGGGGAGAGTCACTGACCTGGGGAGTGATCCCGGGGAGCACGGCAAGGGAAGGGGGCGGTGAGACAGAGACGGGAAGAAAACCAATCGCGGTGCATTACAGAGTGGGTCGCGGCTATGGGCATCTGGTACCTAGCCCTTCCGCAGGCCCTCTGGGAGACCGTGTAGCACAGGCCTCTGAACTGTCCTCCTGTGGACAAAGGCATCCTTGTGCCTCTCTTGTCCCCCTCTTGCTCCCAGGCTGTTGGCTCTCCAGCATGTCCGACTGGCCAGGGCCAAGGATGGAGCTTGCCTCCTTTATACTGTCTCCCGGGCACAAGCAGGCGCTTGGAGAAGAGGTAGGGGACTGTCTGCAGAGGGCCTCCCGGCTGGCCGGGACTGCCATTACCTCACACTGTGGTCAGCACCGTCCCTTCCCAGGACCCCTGGGGGGCCCAGGGCTGTCCTCCTTCAAGCAGTGCTGATGTGACATGTTGGGAGGCCCCAGTGGAATCCAACTTGGTAAGACCGTGTTCTGCCCGAAATAAGCCCCAGGATGCATGGGCCCCTGTCCAGGGCTGGCTGGCTCCAGCAGGCTGGATGGCTGCCTTCAGGACCCCAGATGGGTGAGAGCTGCTTTTAATGAATGGGATGAGCCTGTCTGAATTCTCAGCAGCTGGTCTGAATTCTCTGACTCCAACATGCAGGGGCGGGGGTGGGGGGTGGGGGGTTGTTGTTGGGTGTCTCCCCAAGCGCCCTGCAGTGTCCCGTACCTGGGACTCCGTGCTTAGGAGGGGTCTGAGGAGCAGTAGAGGATGCTGGAAGCCTGGTCTGCGGTGTCAGTTTCCCTGGACCTGGGGAGTTCCCAAAGGGCCACATTAGGAGACCCTGTTCAAAAGACCTGGGTTTGGAGGTTTTGTTTTGCTTTAGTTTATTTATTTTTGAGAGGGAGAGAATCCAAAGCAGGCCCCAGGCTCCGAGCTGTCAGCACAGAGCCTGACACGGGGCTCGAACCCACGAACCCTGAGATCATGACCTGAGCCGAAGTCGGATGCTTCACCGACTGAGCCACCCAGGTGCCCTGTGGGTTTGGAGGTTTTTAGATGAACAGGCTTGAGAACAAACCACAGTAGGCTTCGAATTAGGATAAACTCAGATTTAAGAGTACCTTCCCTGAATTTTAGTGTGCAGTGCGTTCACATCATTAGAAATACAAACACGTAAAACTGTATTCAGTGAGACATCTCCCCCATCCCCCTTCTACCCGGCCCCCCCTCTTCTTCCTTTTCTGGTTTCTGATTCTGGGTGTCCTTTCTCAGGTCCGGTAGGTATGTAAGTGCAAGGAAATCTTAGTTTCTTCCTTCGTAATCCAAAGGCAGCATAACACAGGCCTGTTGTCACCTTTGCATGTGTGTTTTCACCTAACCATCTCTTCTCAAGATCTTTCCCAGCACCTAGGAGAGCATGCTCATTGTAAACCTTGGCGGCCCGCACACCGAGTTGTTTAAAACCAGCCCCCCACCGGGTGGACATTTGGGTCGTTTCAAATCTTGCTCTTACAAAAGATGCTACGAAGAATAACCTTGTACTCACATCATTTTGCACGTGTGCAAGTGTATCTTTAAGAGAAATTCCCAGAAGTGACGTCACTGGGCCAGAAGGTATACGCATTTCTAACTTGGATAGATATTGCCAAATGGCGTTCCTTGGGGGCTGTACCAGTTTCCGTCCTTACCAGCAGAGTGCGTCCGGCGACGCTGTGGGTTCCACAGACCAGTGGAGCAGAGACCTAGGAGATGAAAATACAGCCCTGGACAAGCGTGAAGGGGGAGCTGCGCTCAGACCCCCAAGGCCTGCGGGGAGTGGGGAGGAAAGACGAAGAAGCCCGAGACTGTACAAAAGGAATGTGAATCCGTCTTATCTCGTGGGGCGAAATGGGAAGAGTCAGATCAGATACGTCAGCTCAGGGTTTCTCAGTCCAAATGGTCTGTTTAAAGGGGAGCCTTTTTAGATTCTGTCGGGATCCAGGAATCCCAGGGTGAGGAAACGGAAGAGGGGCTGGGAGGGAGGGGCTGGGCTGCAGCTGCCGGGGCCGGGAGCAGAGTGGGAAGGGTCCAGGAAGCCGGGCCTGCATCCCCAGAGCCGAGCACACCGCCTGGCTCGTGGGAGGTGCTCCGGAAATGCCAGAAACGGAAACACAGCAGAGGAGACAGGACAGTGTGAAATTCCTCCCCAGAAACCCAAGAAGTCCACCTGTTTGCCTCGGGACCGCAAACGACTGGAACAGAATGCTGATGGGGGTGGGAGCGGACCCATCTGGGTCTTACGCGTGCCCTCGGTGAAGTCAGATCCACTTCCTTGTTGTTTCCTTCCAAAAAGTCATCTTGAATTCATTGCTCAGTCAACACATATTTATTGAGCACCTACAGTGTGCCGGGCCCTGCTCCTGACGCTGAGGCTTCAGCCGTCCCTGCCCCAGTGGATCGAAAACAAGCTGTCCCATAAATGCACGATGGCAGGTTGTGCTGAATGCCCTCACGGATGGGAGAGCCAGGCTCCGAGCCGAGCGACGGTAGTCAGGGAGGGCTTCGCAGGGAAGCGCTGTTTAAGCTGAGGTCTGCAGGACGCTTGGTGTTAGCAGGTCAGGAGAAAAGGAGCAGCAAGCCAGGTAAAAGGGACGGGGTGTGCAGAGGTCCAGAGGTAGGGAAGAAGTTTGGGCATCTGTGGAGGTGGCAAAGGGCCAGGGTGGCAGGAGCTCAGGGTGAGAGGGGTCAAAGTGAGGCAGGGAAGGTGGCTAGGGACCAGAGCATGCAACGGTTGGAGGGCTTATTGTCTTATTCAACTGTGCAATTCCAAGGCATTAATTAAAGGTCTTCATGGGGGTGCCTGGGGGGCTCAGTTGACAGCGTCCGATTTGGCTCAGGTCGTGATCTTGAGGTTCGTGAGTTCAAGCCCCACATTTTGGGCTCGCTGCTGTCAGCGTGGAATGTGCCTCGGATCCTCTGCCCCTCTCTCTCTGCCCCTACCCCGCTGGCAAGCGTGCTCTCTCTCTGTCTCTCAAAAATAAACATTAAAAAAAAAAAAAAAAAAGAGGGCTTTAAGCAAGGGAGTGATGTGATCAGATTTATGTTTCAAAAAGATCTTTCGGCTGTGGAAGATGGGGTAGGGAGGGTATTAGTGACAGTAGGGAGACCGGGACATCCTAGAGCCCCACATCTTAGATTTGCATGGGTGACAAATGACAAATCGGGGGAGGATGGCGACAAGAGAGTTTCCAAAGCCATGTTGTCCTGTGCACCCCAAAGTCACTCCCTGTCCGCAGGGAGGCCTAGTGCCGGCCCTCAGCCTGGAATCCAGCGGCCCCCCCGGCTGTGGGGGTTTTTCCCACGGTGCAGCTGAGAAGCTGGGGTCTGCAGTGGGTTCCCCAGCTAGAGAGGAACCCGGGAGGAAGCGGCATCACGCTGAGCTGAGTCAAGGTGAAAGAGATCACTTTGCGGGAGCACTTCGCCAAGCCTTTGGGAAACATGCCTTGGGCATCTCCAGGAAGCACGACCTAGAAAGCTAGGTGTTGCCTGCTTCTTTTGTAACTTTGTTCCTCATTGGACATTGTGCTTCCAAACCCATGGGCAGAAATGCTCTAAGGACTTCCTGTTTTCATAGCTAGGGAGATATCTGCTAATGAGCCTGCTCACTTCCTTCTCACACCCTCTGCTCAGGGGCCTGGAATACCGTCCTCTTTATTTTTTTTTTTTTTTTTTTTGTAAATTTTTTTTTTCAACGTTTATTTATTTTTGGGACAGAGAGAGACAGAGCATGAATGGGGGAGGGGCAGAGAGAGAGGGAGACACAGAATCGGAAGCAGTCTCCAGGCTCCGAGCCATCAGCCCAGAGCCCGACGCGGCGCTCGAACTCACGGACTGCGAGATCGTGACCTGGCTGAAGTCGGACGCTCAACCGATTGCGCCACCCAGGCGCCCCAACACCGTCCTCTTTAAATGACTGACAGGGCGGGGCGCCTGGGTGACTCAGTCGGTTAAGCGTCCGGCTTTGTTCGGTTCAGGTCATGATCCCAGGGTCCGTGAGTTTGAGCCCCGCGTCGGGCTCTGTGCTGACAGCTCGGAGCCTGGAGTCTCCTTCGGATTCTGCGTCTCCCTCTCTCTCTCACTCTGCCCCTCCCCTACTCACGCTCTGCCTCTCCCTCTTCCAAAAATAAATAAGCATTAAAAAAATAAATAAAAAATAAGTTTAACTCATTGATGGGAAAATGGACCAGTTCAGTGATCTGTACCCAGAGTGAGAGGCTCGAGGGGTTTTCAGGCGTTGGTCTGGATCAAGCAGCTGACCAACAGAGAGCAGCCCAGTAGATTTGGGGGTGTCAGCTTTGGTCACCCCTCCGACCCTTGCCTGGCCTGGCCTGCTTAGGAATGTCGGTGGAAAGCTACCTGCCCTCGATCTCTTTCTTTTTCTCACTATCTCTTACTGCCTTTGGGAGAAAGAAGTTGACTCCCTCACCAAGAACCTTGGTGCCCTGTTCCACGAGGAGGCAACAGGCCTGGCATTTCTGGTGCCTGTCTTTACACGACGCTCCCAGCCAAACCCGCGGAGGGCTGTTCATCTTCCTGACTCGATTATGGGGTGTGAACCACTGTCACTGCTTGGTGCGGTCCAAGCGGATGTGCTCATCTTGTCCCCCTGGCCTGGCGTTCTAACCCCGATGGTGCGGCGAGAAATACGAAGAGAAGAGACTGCACGGAGCGTGTTTCAGGAGGTTGGGTTTTTATTCTACGTTATTGGTATGATAGGGAACAGGGCCAAGATTCCGCCTCCACGATCCCATAGGAAGAACAATCAGGAGAATTATATACATCTAGAGTGGACAACTAAGGCGGGATCTTCCTGGGGACGTGGCGGGAAAGACGCAGGCTTAGGCCACGGGGGCCAGGCCGACCTGGTTGTTTGCCCTGTCGAAGACAGCAAAGTACTGGCGGATGAAGACATCACCCAGGATCCAGAGCTCTCCGGAGGCGGTGGGGAGGTTCATGCCCTGGAGGCCGCTGATACAGCCCTGCTGGCTCTGGAGAAAAGGAGAAGGAAGCTGGAGATGGGACACAGGCTCGGCAGTGACAAGGCACTGGGGACTAAGCCGCAGGCAGCGCGGGCCGCCGCAAGGCACGCGCAAGGAGCGGCGTCCTGGCTGGCGTCCGGGGACGTGGCTCTTCTCGGCCGGGGGTCGGCCTGTATAAACTGCTCATTCTACTAGTGGTTTCCAGGGATTACTAGACATTATCCAGTGTTTCTGGCAGCTGTACAGACCCTGACATCAGCATCGGGGCTGAGGGGTTTGGGGAAAACTCAGCCGCCGTGAAGGATTTTGGAAGCTGGGGTGACACAGCCTTTTCTCATTATTCTGACCCCCTCCAGTGGCAAAGGGGATCGGCTGTTAGTCCTTTTCATGTACTGGGGCACCGGGCCACAACCTTGGCTGCGCGCTAGAATCACCTGGGGGGCTTAGGAAAAGCCCACTGTTTAGGCCCCGCCCCCTACTAATGAATCAGCATGCCTGGGGGACCGCCCCCCCGGACCTCAGCACTTCTTGCAGAATAGCCTCGAGTCACTGGGCAAAACTACCCGCCCCCCACCGTGGCTCGTAATCTACCAAGTAAAGATTTGTTACTTCACAAGCCCCCGCCCTGCGGAAGGTGCGATTTCCATTTGCTCAACCCTTTTCGCGCCTTTGATGTGGTCGCTCTGACCTGATCACCCTCACCACCCTCGGAGGATGGGGGAAGCTGGCGTCTCTAGTTTTCAGACCAGGAAACTGAGGCCTGCAGTGGCTGCAGCTTGCTCAGACTCCGCGAGCCAGTAATTGGCACCCAGCTTGCACTCAGGTGTGCGGCTAGAAACCCTCTCTTCCTGCCACTGGCCTTTGCCTCACTTTTGCCCTGTTGGGGGAGCGGCGCTGCACCCACAGTTTCATGCATGCAGCTGTTTACAATGTATCCTATTTTCTCTGGAGGCTGTCCAGAGCAGCCTTCAGCTTCCTCTTGTGGAAGCGCCCCTTCCCTTGTGCAAAAGCCGGGGGCGGGGTGTGGGGTGTGGTGTGCTACGTGGCCGCATTCCCTGCAGGCACACCTAGGCGGCTGGCCCAGAGCCCCCTTACCTGCAGGATGTAGGCACTGGGAGGCAGTGGGTACTCATTGCCGTTGATGGTGAAGACGATGTCGGGCAGGTTGCTGATGGCTGAGCAGCTGATCCCCATCTGGAAAGAGTTGAGGGTTAGGAGTACTTGGGTTTCTTCTGCGTGGCGGACAGACCCGCCACTTGGGTCCAGAACAGGGCAGTCAGGGCCGGACTCACCTGGCCGTATGAGTTCTGGCTGGCTCCAATGTCGCTCTGGATGTTGGCAATGGCGTTGCTTGGGCCAGTCAGCAGAGAGGTGCCTGTGTCCACGATGGCCTGGCAGCCCCCGTTACAAGCGATGGACTGTCCGTTCATGGTGATGCTACACATGGATGAGATACAAGGAAGGGTCCCCTGAGTCCCCAGGGGGTAAATCTCCCCAAGGAGGAGCCAGGTGGCCCCAGAGGGTCCCCTCCTTCCCTCCACAGGCCAACACATAAAATTCCAGCTTCTCCATCGTGCATTCAGTTACTCAACAAATATTGACCGAGTGCCTGCTCTGTGCTAGGCATGGGGGATGCAAAACCAGACAGCCACACGGTTCCAGGCCGCGGGGAGCTCACGGTAGAGGAGGAGCAGGACACGTGGCAGGGGAACAGAAGCATGATCCAGGGGGCAAAGGGGGTGGTGCCGAGCAATCAGGGAGGGCTTCTCAGGGAAGCGGACACCCAGCGGTTGCTAGGGAGGTACAGAGCGGGAGGAGGACATCACAGGCAGGGAGTGACAGAGATACGGAGCAGGGGCAGGAGGTAGAGGAAGTGAGGGACTTTTAGCCATGGCTGCGGCAGGTGCAAGGTAACCCTACGTGCCCGTTTGCCCAGGACAGTCCCGGTTTTAGTACTGCAAGTCTGGCGTCCCAGGGAACTGCTCATTCTTGGGCAAACCTGTGTAGGTGGTCACCCTAAGAGGCCAGCGGGGTGACAAATAGCTGGGGAATGAGGCTGCTTGGGGGAGGGGCAGGCTCCAAAGGGGGCAGTG